AGAAGTGCACAGATCTACAGCATATCCTCCAGACAACCCAGGGCCAACCACAGGATCAGAAATAAAGCCTGCAAACAGAAGGCTGGGCATGCTACCAATCCCTCTTCTGCGTGCACAGGTGCTCTGCTGTACTCAAAATCCTATTTAGAATAACTTCTCAGCAAGATTACACTTTGAATTAGAGCTACCTTTGATTAGATTTGCTACAATGAGAAAGGCAGGCAAGTTTTGGCATGGCCCAGCTTCTGTGCTTTACTCTCTAGAAAGTTTTGCTCAGAAAAAAATCCCAAAGACCACCATTTTTAGTTAGGGAGTAGATGTTCAGGTGCCTGTTTTGTCCGAGGAATTTAACCAAGTAAGTTAAGCTTAACTCTTGTTCTTGCTCTGGTACTTACCCTCTCTCTGGCGCACAGGACACGGCAACAGTTTTAGGTGATGTTTAATTAAGTTGATGTCTTGCTCTAACATGTGCTGGGAGTGCTCTCTTCTCTGTCCTTATGAAGGGTTTGACTTGTGTTCAGGTAGTTCAGCAATACCTTTGTTTATAAAATGAGCTGTCTGGCTCACAAATGTGGGCTCTTACCCCCACTGCCAGGCTGGTTGTTGCTAGTACAGTCCCTTGGCTACATGTGTTACTTAAGGCCCTGTGACTGTCACTGCCTCACCCTGGGCAGCTGTCACCTCTGAGAGCCAGCACGGAATGCCTGGGAAGGGTGGGAAAAGGAGTGGTCGAAGAGCAGAGTGGGCTCTTCCTTCCCAGTCCAGGCTGCTCTGCTTGCCATGAATTCTCTCTCAATGCAGCGGGCTGTGTATTAATACTCTCCCCTCCTCCTGCATCAGCTGCTGGACACTGGGAATTACCTGACAGTGAGCAGGGAACTCGGTGATAGGTGCTGCTGTTACTCCTGCCCTGACATGAGACAGCATCTTTCCACTGGGGGCTGACTTTGGGGAATACCAGAAGTGAGTAACTTTAAGATCAAGGCCCCAGCCCTTGCTATTTTAAGGAACCAACCCTGTTCCAACCACTTGCCACATTCAACTATTTGACTTTTTTAACTACTTAGAGGTCATTGTGACGAAAAAAGGTTCTGCGGGCCAAATTTCCAGTTAGTTCTTAAGACAGTCCAGCCCCACAGCTGAGTTCTGGCAACATCTTTAAAGAAAGAACATGATGTTTCTGTAATATAGAAATACTGCTCTCTATCTCTTTGCCTTGGAAACCCTGTTTTCTATCAGCTTGTCTTTTTTGCATCAACTCTCCTCCCCTCACACTCTGGGGTTAAATGTTCTCCTCTTCCCCAAACTTACTGTCTGCAGAATTGCTGCCTTCTCCTCTTTCCACAAGCATGCTGCCTCGGAATCCAAGATCCTACACCTTGTCCTGCTCACTCACGGGTCTCTGTGCAAGAGAGGGAGGGGAAGGGAGGAAAGGCTTCTAGTCTGTTCTGTTTAGGCTCCCTTTCACGTGAGGCCTCCCCTCTTGTGGCTATCAAAGCCTCCCTATAACTTCTGCTTTCCCTGCAAGAACCAGAGATTGAGCAGTGGCACCTTCCAGCACTGAACTCCCATTCACCCACATCTGTCTGTATTTTACTAATTATCTGCTAGGAAGAAAGAAGCTGAAACTCCTGAAGCAATTGGATTCAATTCTTTGACTAATCCAGTTAATTCTTTGAATAACGGTGTTTTCTCAAGATGGGCAATGTATAAAGTATGACTGTACAAATTTAAGAAGAAAGAAAGAAAAGCCCTGAGAAGAACAAAGTAATTCTGCTTTCTGTGAGCAAACAGCCCAAGCAGATGATAAATTACCAAAGATTAATAACTCACTGAAGAAACAGTAAAGCTAATCTTGGACACAATGAACTCTGGACTTAACTCTAGGAGGTGTTACTTCTCTTAACTGTGTCCTGGGAACCCATTTGTAGAAAACAGAACCAATCTGATTCCTCCAGGTATGTGTATAGGATATATTCACAACCCAGGAAAGGGTCATTTTCAGGCTCTCTGTGTTCCTTACTCACATTAAAAAGTGAATGCATGAAAGCACTGGGTTCCTTCCTGCTCAGAACAAACAGCATCTTCCTGTGCTCTCCTAAATAAAAAACAGCATTACAGAAGCCACCAGGAGGCAGCAGATTAAAATATTTGTGCTATAAAAGGACACCCACCACCATTATAAAAAAAAATACCCCAAAACCTTGCCCCTCTCCCAAACCTTCAACCTGATATTTAGGAAATACATTCTCCCACCCCGCTGCTCATCATTTTGCTTCATACACTGATCTCTCTTCTCTGCATACCTGAAACCAGGAGCAACTCCGAGGCTGTCAAAGAGCTTTCTGCAGGAGCACGGTTAAAATGGGAATCAAACTGATTTCTGGAATAGCACTTACTGGAAAAAATGAGCAAACAAAGTAGGTAGAAGTGATGTGACAAAATGTAAAACCTCCCTCCAGACTAAACCCCTTTTGCTCCTCCTGGGGTTTACTGACAAATTCCAACCCCCTGAGCTCTCAGCTGAGTATTTCTCTTTTCGTTTACAAATGCCACCCAAAGGGAAGCACTGAAACTGTGACCAACCCAGGACAGGCTCTGGCTCCCTCACCAGTGCTGCTGCTCCAGCTACGCTGCCCTGGCCCTGCAGCGATCCAGTTCTGCATTCCCTGACCCAGGAAAGCTGCAAGTTGTCTCCTCTCCTCCGTCCTTCTTCTCTGCTGGTATAAAAGACTGTTCTCAGTTGCAGCTCAGCAGGGTTTAAGAAAGCCTAAAATCGCTACAGACACACATGAAAGCTTTTAAACTGGTACATTATTTTAGATGCTAATTATTTATGGACTTTAATGCATTTTATGGCATTGTGTTACCATATATATTTTATGGTGTTATATAACATACAATAACTGCTCTTACAGAGTCTTGTGTTACAGGCTGAGCACGTATGTGAAACACTGCAAGGCAGCTACAGAAACATGCAAAGTACCTAAAACATTTCTAAATATGGACCTACAAACACAAGGTATGTGCAAAGTCCGTCAACAAAGTCGAGCATGAACAGTGTACAACTGGGCCCTCAGGAAAGGCACTTCAGAACTGACCCAGAAACAAAACACAAAAGCAAACACTCCTGTTTTCAGACTGAAAATTCAGCTCCTAAGAAACTCCATCTGGGTCTCGAATGCCTTAATTCAAACACACACTCTAGGTTCTCCAATGTGAAGATCACAGTTACTTGGGAAATTAAAACACAAGCACAATGTCAGCAGAAATCACAAATTTATTAATCCTTAAATATATCAATCATTTACCATTATGGCAAGAAATATGTACACTGTGTCCCATGGTAAACTGCAGTGTTCCAAAATGACAGAAGTGTATAATTCAGTTGTGGTGGAGAGAACAAATCACAATTTCCTCACGTCTCGGTGTGGAAGACAAACTTGGTCTACAGTAATACGTCAACACCACATGCTATGTTAGAAGTATAAAAAAAAACAAACACCCTACACCTAATTTGTTAATTTTAAATACAGTTATGCCACTTATAGCCGCTTCACAAAAAAAAAAAAAAAAAAAAAAAAAAAAAAAAAAAAAAAAAAAAAAAAAAAAAAAAAAAGTAAAGAAATTAATGAAAAAAAAAAATGAGGCCATTACTTTTTTCACAGATCCCATTGGCAGGTTAATATGGCTCAACACATTTATTGTAGATGCTTATTTTAAATATATATTGTTTAAAATCATGTAGTAATTATCAGAGAAGCTTAAATCCATCTACCATACATCCACTAGTAACAACATCGACATGTTTAAGAACTGCTTTTGATTAGTCATCGACACGGAAAGGTGAAATGATACAAATTAGGAAGCTTTTCCCATTTTAAAAACTTCAGGCTGCAGAGTTGTAAGTTGTTAACGGCTAAAAAGGAGCGTGATGGAGATCCCATGCACTGTACAGCGCCGTGGAGAGCAGGGAGCCCTGCCAACAGAACCAGTAACCAATGGGAAAAACAAAACCAACCCACCCCTGTGCTCTGCTATCGGGAATGGAAGGGAGGAAACCGAAATTCTTGCGAGGACGTATTTTCACAGCAACGTGAGGGAAGGAAAACCAGTCCCTGTTACGAGGTTTGCGTTCTGCGCTGGCAGCAGAGTGTCCCTCCTTCGGCTGCCTCCGGCCAAACCCAACGGGATCGCTGCGGGAATCACTGTGGGAACTGCTGGGCTCGACACCATACGCTGCACCAGGAGCTTAAGAAACCGACAGCGCGTTGAGGGGGAAGAGGGGGAGACAAATCTGTGGTAAAACCGGTGTGTCCATAACTCATTTCCAGAGAAGCAACAGCAGCAGTGTAATGTAAGTAAACTCTTCATACTCAGCTTTAAGGCCTAATATTTCTCGAGTATATCAACCACACAACTGGTCTATAGATTAACCAACATATTATAGTTTATATTTTTTTAAAGCCTCCTTAAAAAATTTACAGTACATCCTAAAAGCGATAAAAATCTTTCTCTCTCCTTCCATTCTAATCCTCGAAAATGCCTCTCAATTACCTCTTAATTCCTTACAATTTTTTAATTTTGCTTAATCATCCAATAGGAATTTTCAGTTAAGCAAAATAAGAAAGCAAAAAGGACTCCACGGGAAAACAGAAGCTGCTGACTCACCAGAACACTGACAGTTAATTCTGGAGTGGCCAAGCCAGCAAATGAGGAGCTTTTTCCAGTTTACACAGACTAATAAACTAAGAAGGCTTCAGCTGGTCCAAAGCCAAGATATTATCACTTCCACATTTATCAGTGACTTTGCCCATCTACGTGCCGTAACAAAAATCTGTTTGACAGTAACGGAGCTGCCAGCGGAAATCCTAACCATTCCTACCAGAACCAAAGCAAAATCCTGGGACTCGGGGGGGAAAAGGAGGAGTCAAAAAACAGTTCTTAAAAAAAGAAGGTAAAATATACTTTTTCTTTTTTTTTTTTCCTTTTTTTTTTTAATAAACAGGATAGTTTTTAAAGTTGTCTCTCAAAACTTGGCATAAATGGAGGAAGTGACAGATGTATTGTGTATCTACTGCCGTCCATCCAACATTTTTTTTTTTTTTTTTTTTTTTTTTTTGCCTTTTTTACTCCTTGTTATTCTCTATTTGCATGGAACATCGCCTTCATTGAAATGCTAACAGTGTACAGATGGAATATACAGCAACGTGGTGCGTCACAAATGTGTTACATGAAGAACCTTCACGACTCCATGCACTCAGAAACATGCATGAAGAGAACGGGATGGCCAAGATGGTAATCAACCAGGTGCGTTGGGTACAGAAAATGCAAGAGCGGCACCGCTGATATTTTTAGCTGGGAGGAAGGAGAAAAAGAAAGAAAACAGATTTCCATTACTGGTAACATCACCACCATGTAACAGTACATGCTCAAGTGTTAGCCAATGCTATTGAAAGAAAACCCCCACCTTCTCGAGATCATTTAACACGATATTGGGAAGAAAACCAAGGGAAAAAAAAAAACGGTCAGGCAAAGCATTCTTTTATTTTTCAAACCACTTTACAGACATTATTTTCCATCTTTACAGGATGCCAGAGAGGTTGTTAAAATAAAAAAGGAAACTGAGGCAGGAAGCCAAAGTGCCCTAAGGGATTCCTTAAAGGAGAGAGGGTCGAATTCAGACGTGAATCTCTGAGTGTAACTTAACTTCCTCAGCGTGGGCATCGCAGGCACTGCCACGGACTGAGGGTGTGTACAAACACGGAACCGAGTAACGAGGAAGAGTCAGATGTCATGAACATGCAAGACATGCTAGAGCCGTATGCAGAGAGAAAAGGGAAGAGAAGGAAGGTGTGAGGAGGTATGTGACCAACTCAGGCTGTGAGATGGCTTGTATTACCGTAGCAGGTAGGGGCCGGAGCCGCGGTGGGGATCCCTCTGCGCTAGGCACTGCACAAACACAGAACACACTCCTTACTCACGGCCCTGCTGCTTGCCAGCGCACTTAGCAAAGTATAAGAAACTGTAAGCTGTGATAAAAGAGGGAACGTGAGCCTCATTCAGACTCAAGTTAGGTTTGGGAGTCAGTTTTAGGTCCAACTGCCCCATACCAGGCAGGTCCACTCTCCGTGGACAAGCAGACACAGTTCTGGAGAAACACATTAGCACATGTTCTTAAGAACGTGGATACAGAGGAAAATTTCCTACCATCACTCCTATCACTCAGAGAGAAAATGGACAAGACAGAAGCCCAAGCTTGTCTTGTCTGACTCCCAGCAAATTTACAAATAAAATTTATTTATAAACTAAGTACACGTTTTTGCTCATATTCTTTTCCAAATAAGTTCTCTGCCATAAAGAAACATTTCCCTATACCTATAGCTATTAAAGCCCTCAGATATATCCTTAGAGTTATGCACACTCCCTCCTGTAGTCAAGAAAAAAACCAAGCTACTGTGCTTGCAGCAACTGATTTGACATAATATAGGATATGACGCTTGCAAAAGCAGATCACAGCTATAATTGCTTTTGTGACTTGATTAGATCTAAAATTCTTCTTCAGACATGATGTGCAAGATACTTTCTTATAATGGAATTGCCATTATTAACTACTGTGTGTTGGTAATAATTAAATAAGTAGCTGTAGACTGTATACATTTCAAATAAAGGAAAGATAAACCAGAACAATATTTTAATTAGATTTCTCCTGTAGTTTTCCAAAATGGAGCTATTGCTGCTCTGAGTGGGAAAAGTGAAGGTGAGGTTTAGGGTAGCCTAAAAGATGGTCAGGATGGGTCATGAAAGGCGATTCTAGCATGGTGCCACGTGGGAATCTTCCACTCAGACTTGAGAAGAGGGGGAATAGAGAAAGGATATGTAAAATAACTAAAAGAAAAATGACAATGTTCGGGCTGAAAGGGGAACCATCAGCCTAGAGGAGACCCACTAGTCCTGAACACAAGCAGTAGGAATAAACTCATGTAGTATATTTACACTTAGGTGGAAGGCACTGTAAAAAGAAAGGAAAACAGGAGCGTTGTGCAAGAACCACCAAATCACCTTGAGGATCGGATAATCCAGAAATGTTACGTGGAATAACAGGAAGTGCAAAGCTGCACGCTCAGTAGAAGTTTCTACCTGCTCATTGATTGGAAATGAGAATTGAGGAAAAACATGTGGCTGGCTCAGATGAGCTGCTGGATGTGACAGAGATCAGAAAAGGGCAAAAACCATGCCAGAACACAGCAGGGGAAAGACAGACATCGTGGAGTTAAATAAGGTCCTGACCACAATTGGACAGAACATTTCAGAAGAATCCAAGCTAAAGACAAACCTCAAATGAAAAAAAGACAGTGAAGAGCTATTAAGGTAGCCAGGAAAATGGAGATCCTACCAAAAAAAGCCATCTGAGTTAGTGTGGGTTATTCACTCTTCAAAAATAGAAGGTGGGAAGTGATCGGAACAGCCTTGCTATAAAGGAGCTCATGTCTGCATACCTGTCCCCAGCACAGGAGAACAAGGATGAAATAAGAATAACCAAAGATACATTGAATATTACTAAATTTTAGACTGGAAAGTAAGGCTTCTAACCGTCAGACCAATGGTGTTTTAGAACAATGACAAAGAACAAGTCCAAAAGCCCCTCTGAATTCAAGATTAGGGTGAGGTATGGGATTTATGTGATATTGTTGCCAGCATTAGACATCTAGGGCTATGTTGCTACCTCAGGGAATCTCTCCTCAAGCCTGAGTCCTGCTCTAAGGCTCCTCGTCTGTGACCCTTTCAGCTTGGATGCCCTCTTGCAATCCCAAAATCTCCTCTGTCTGACCCCATAGGTCTGAACATCCACTGATACAGTCTCAGAAGTCTCTGCTTCTCCTTCCATCCTTGGCAGTCCCAGAAATTCTTCTCTTTATTAGACACCATAAGCAGCTGCAAAAAACAGCCCTTTCCCAAAAAACAGAGGGGGGAAAAGAAAAACCCAAAGGAAAAGATTACATAATTCTCTAGTCCAATTCATGTTATTCTGCTGCAAACACTTACTGTCCAGGGTGCCCTGGACCTGCTTTGCTTACACTCTACACAAACCCAGGCCAGATCCCTTGACAAAACACTCCTTTATGAAAACACCAAAAACCTACCTAACACTGCATTTCAAGCAAATGTAGCTACCCTTTATATATAACCTGTTTAAACACTGGCTGTGCAGCTAGAATGTGAGAAACAAAGGACAACGTGGTTCCTCTTCCCACTGGTTTCACATTTTGAAATAAAATAGTTATCCCTAAGGAAGCAAATTTCTTTTTTCCTAAATAAAAAAATAATAAAAAGTTCATCCCTGTGGAAGTTTAACACTTCAGTCTATCTTGTTCCTTACTTTGTCATGTATTATTTCATATAGGAGAACAGTGGTGCAAGAAGTAAATTACAGGACATGATGAAGTGTGAAAGATGGACTCTAAGCCCTTAACATCCACATCAGGAAATTCAGCTGCTGACAACATTAAGATGCCTCACACAAATGTAATTATATCCTATACAAAGGGCTCACAACTGAACAAAGCAAGGCCTGCCTAATTTGGAAAGAGCCCAGCCTAAGGCAGAAGTCAGTGAGGGTTGGGCTCATTAATGAAGGTTGCAGGAAGGAGGGAAGCCGAGGACCCAAGCAGAACCTGCTGAGGAAGCCGTGACTCTTGATCTTGTTAGTGCAACTGTGAGTGTGCTGGAATTAACCCTGCTGACAGCCTGGCCCAAGGAACTCGGGTCACTGCATGACTCCGAGGGCGTGGGAGGGCCTGGATGAACAAGAGAAGAAGATGATGATGGGAGAGATGAGAGGCTGACCCACATGGATGTCAGAGCTGTGAGACAGGGACTACGCAGCAGATAAGCAAGGAGAGTGTGGGAAAGAGATAAGAATGTGATAGCTACTGGGATGACTTAATTTACAAATTAAATACGTAAACTGGCTCAAAACCAAATTGCAATGAACATTCCTAGGCCTGAGTAAGCAGAGGTGGCTGGAAAACACAATAAATACGAGTTAAACTTCAGTTTTTCAAGACAGTGATACTTTTTCCTTGAAACTTTCTGGTCAGCACTAACAGCTCCACGTATCCTCTCACTTTTTATTTTTCCAGATATTCCAGAAATTCTATTTCAGGTTCTCTAATCCTGTCTTGTGTGACTTCTATCAAGCCTTACCTACATTAAAACAGCTCTCTGAGCTGCCCGCTCAGGGCCCGAGTTGGCTCAGTGGGCATCACAGTGGAAACCAACCACCAAAAAAGAGCGTTCTTTTAAGAACGATACCACACGCACAGAGGTGGATATAACACACAATAAACAACCACAAGAAACGACCGTGAGGGCGGCTCGTAGCTTTTAAGGCCCGAAACAGCAACGAGACCACGCGGCGCGCCCCAAGCTCGCGGCCCGGGTCGGTTCTTACTTGATAGGTACTGTGGGCGAGCCTGAGCGGTGGAAATGGACGTTCTGCCACTTGCCGTCGCGGCGGTGCCAGACGCGCGTCTCCTCGGACTGCATGGTCTTGGGCATGCCGCTGCCGTCCATGTACTGCGTGAGGCGGATGTACGCGATGCAGGCCGCGTCCTCGCCCACCAGGTGCACGTGGGGGTTCAGGATGATCGTGTGGATCGGCTTGTTACTCTTGGACAGAGCTGGGGAAACAAAAACACACGCGCGCACACATGCGTTTTCTCCCCGTGAGCCCCGTTTTGCAAACAAAACCCTCAAGCATAGCAGATATAAATGAATGATTGCTGTTTACTGATGGCCGTGACTGATGACTCAGGTGCACTGTAGAAATGAGCACAGTCACAGCATAAAGTATGTTTTCCCCTTTCCAATCAAATGTTTAATAGCACATATAATGCCCTATTTAATAAGCACATAGGTTTAATGCATGTATCCACATGGCTACCATCTTGAGTTTCCCAATATTTTGCTTTCACTGTTATGTCTAATAACATTTCTACTTAACATTATCAGCCAAAAGAATTCACCTTTTAACTTATTCTTGTATCATATTTTATTAAATGCTGATACGTAGGAAAACTAAAAAGCAGTGGTAATGAAAGGCAAAATTACAAGGAAAAATACATAAAATGCTGGTTTGGAGATGGAAGAGAATTTAGGAGTATTACAATCCCATTTAGATTATGGATATTTAGATTCAGGAATATGATAACCCCATTTTATGCTCAGACACTGCTCAGAAATTACTGGATAAGCTGATATCTTAATTTACAATATTTTATTTCTTTTTAAGTCAAGTCTGTTCTAAAATGGTTACTTACATCACATGTTTCTCCAAAACTTTATTAAATCCATTCTCTGGGTAATTTCTCTTTCTTAGAGATGACATGATTGTAATATATATATATATATATATATATGTAAAACATTATAAATTAATGTTTTCATATATACACAGCAACATATATACCAATGCAGAGCAGAGCAGATCCTCAGCAGTACAGACTGAGTGACTACAATGTCTTCCCCAACACAATCACACACTCACTGCAAATTCTGACTGTTGGTTGCAATCACTGTTCACCACATGATTTAGTGACCTTTCTTTTAAGTACAGGCACACCTATTTCCCCAGGAGAAAAACAAAAATATGAGAAATACCTGAAACTTTCCCCAACTACCTGTGATACGTGAATGAGCACAGCAGAAATATCCTGGAAAAAAGGAACACCCTCTTCCCCTGGCCAAATCAATTCACTCCCAAACCAAAATGCTAAGTAGATGGGAGAAACACAGTCAGAAACAGATGAAGATTTGGAAATGAAAAAGGAATGTTTACCATTTTCAAAGTAAAACCGGTGGAAGTCCATCCCTTCTACCAGATTACCCAGAGCTTCAGGTTCAAAAGATGTAAGGCCTGGATCACAGATTTTCCTGTGGAAAAGAGGAAATTTTGTAATGAGTGGTTATTACGAAACACAGCTCCGGAGAGATTATTTTTAAATGTTTCCTTTATTCCAATCAGGCATGCCATCACGCTGGAAAAGAACAGAATTTAAATGAGGAGAAGGAATAAAGTTCTGGTTTCACCTAAATTAGCACAGTTGGCTGCTTACCTCAGGTGGACTGGATTTCATATAAATCATCTTTTCACCAAAAAGGTCCACCAAAGTAGGTCTCACATGTCAGTGGTAGGTATTATATTCACAAGACTTTTTAGTTGTGACTCTGAAAAGTGCTGCTGTGCAAACCAAAGGATTTTTTTATGTCTCACATCAGTATTTAAGCAAGATTTAATCACTTTAACCACACTGGATTTACACAAGCAGCTCCTCTGAAACTGGCGATGTGTAAAGCCAGGGCAAAGCAGCCAGGAACATGTTTTGTGTTTCACGAGGAGGAATTCCAACAAACCATAAATACAAGCACAGTCTCTCCTATATAAACATGCATATTAAGTATGGTGTGTCAAATAAATCAACTCTCCTCACTCCCTCCGAAATGAGGAACTCACGTGTAAGCTTCAAAGTCCCCGTTGTTGATGGCTTCAATCAACTGCTCGGTCACCTTGATAATCTCCTGCTTACGAGCTGGGGAGAGATACAAACCAATCTGAGGATGGAAGGTATAGTGGAAGGTGACAGCTGACAGGTATCCTGTCATCCCTCAGCTGGCACAGCAGCCATCTCTCTTCCTTTCTATGACCAAAGGACATGAGGTTATATTGCTGCTTTACACTGACTTGCCTTCAGTGCACGCCTGTATCCATGAGGAAATTAAACACATGTCAAGATCAATCCACTTTCCTTTCACACTTCTAAGCATCTTCACTGAAGGATCTGCTGCTTAAAAAGCAAAACAAACCAAGGCCCAACTCCTATCTCCAAATTCAAGGGTCTGATTACTGTTTTACAAGCAATGCTCTGTGTTTCATACATACAGGAGGCCTTTACCTTTTCTGTGCCTAATGCTGATTTTCAGGAATCTTTTCAACACTTGCTGTTTGCTTTGGCCAAATGTGAACATCTAAGTAAAAATGAATTTGGACCCTAAGCCTATAATGAAGATCCTCTGGTGCAAAGCTCACGGATTCCATAAAACGCACACATATCCATGTAGGTCTATTTACAACACATTGTCTACTCGTTCTTAAACATCAGAGAATCCATTTGGAAGACCCAAACTTGAAAGAAAAATAAATGCAAGCAATCAGGCTGTAGCAGCTTTCCTGCAAACAATTGCAGTTCTCCTGCACACTCCTACATGTGGATTTGACCATGAACAAACACACACAAAAACATTCCTGGAATGCTAAAACCAAAGTCCCAAGAGAGATCACATTCTTCTTCTAAAAGAAAATGTTGGGGAGCACGTACAGAAAGTAAGTCTCCAATGCTGTGCTCAAGAACTGGCATCGTGGTGTTAACCTTTTCCTAAGTGCACACCTAATATACTCAGAGAAAAAGAACCAAAAAGTAACCAGCAAGGAAAGACGTGATGGAGAAAAAAGTGGATATAAAAGTCCAGTGAGACTTCCTGTGAGCAGCTCTTGTCTACTAGACAGCACGATGGCTAAGAGCATTTCAAGTATGAACTGCCTTATTTTTCACAAAGATTGTGGAAAGAACAAAGACTTATAATGAAGAGGCCAGAAATGTCCCTATTGTCGTATGTTTAAACAACACAGACCAGACTGCCTGGACACTGAATGGCATTGTCAGCACCAGCCAAGGGGTAGGATGGCTGAGTAAGAAATAATGGGGCAGTGTTACAGAAGGCTGGCAAAAAAATCCAGAATGTGCCGACTTTGTGCAGTGAAGAAATTACCAGTTTTGCATGCGACATCTCACATAAATATAACGGAGCTAAAGGATTTGATTAAATAACCCAGTGACACATTTCAATCAGAGACTAGGAAATTACAGACTATTAAATCAGACAGTGGGAAATGAGGTAAAAATCTCTGATCAGCTGCTACACGATCATGAGATCATGTTAATGGATAATAATGTAGGCAATAAATATGTCTAAGGTCCTGTAGTTTCCACATGCAAGAGACATAAAACCACAAGGACACGTAATTTTGGCTCGAGACAACTGGCAATATTTCCTTTTTCACTAACACCAGTCATTTCTTTCCCAAGTCTTACCATCATACCTTTCATGTTGAGATATAAAAGATATAATTCAACATCAACCCCAGAAGGGAGAAATCGAACCGTATCGCCAAATTGTTGTTTTTTCCTGGGTTTAGTTCCAAAATGAAATTGCAGTGGAATGTATGTTCTCATGAAGCTTTCTGACAGAAGCCACCTAATATTACAGAATATGGTTCCAGCAAAGCTTCTCTGGGCTGTACTAACATCTAGTGGAGCTGTGTCTGCAGACCTGTCTGTGGATATAAAGCACATCCATCAGGAAGCTCTACGGGCCAGCAAAGCAAGGAAAGGAGATTACAGCAGTTATCACTGGCTCCAATCAATCCACATCCGACTCCAGCACCAGTGTCAGTTCTTCCACTGCCCATGGAAAGACTTCACAGTTCACCATGTGGACTGTCAGGAACAGGAAGATGTTGCCAAATCATCTGCCTTTTAACTCCACTCTCAATTTTTTTTCCTACAAAATTACAAGCGCCACGTGACACTCTACGAAAGCAACTACGTTCCTCTTACCTTTTCAGCAACACACAATTACACACGTATTAGAAAATTAGATTCCTTCTATTTAGTGATCTGATGCGCGGTCTCCTTGGCAGAGAGCCAAAGGCAGAGGTGGAGAATAATTTAGAAAGTGGAGTTCCAGAAATGATTTATCCTATATGCAGAACCCTTCGCCTCGTTCTCAGCCCTTACTCATTGTAAGGAAAAAATGGTCAAGAAACAAGGCAGCATGAAATAACAGCAGGTGCCAAAGACTAATAAAAAATCTCAGTAGCCACTGTGGTTTTACACAAACCCCCTCCTGATTGTTTTGGGGGGCTTGTTTTTATCTTAGCTTTTGCATCTTCTTGCATGGGTATGCAGGGAGACAGACTACAAACAGATACCAAAAGTATTTCTGCTCCATTGTCTTGGAAGCAGAGGTTTAACCTGCAAGGAAGAAAGGAAAGAAGGAAGGGAAAGGAGATGGGAAAACTGAAATACAACAAGCAAAAAGTTGGAAGGAGACTGGAAAGCAGCAGAAGGAAAGTGCAGCCATGGCTTGGTGGCCACGTGCACCAAGTCAAATCCTTGTGCTTATCCTTAGGGCAAAGAAGAAACAGGGAGGGCTCTGGAGATGAACTAAGGTGAAATGGGCACTGGGAGGAACAAAGTCCTGCTATTGCAGACAACATCTGACAGAAATAATTGGCAGTTCTTACAGAGGTAAAAAAATACCAAATTTTCATTATAAATTTGATGGGCTCCACGTAACATATGCTCTTCCGAACATCCCATTTTTTTCCATCTAAATACACATGACAATCTATACAAGGACAACAAATGAACACACAAGGCATTAGGGAAGAGGCATCTGGCCAGTTCCCATCTGCCAGATAACTGTCACTTGCAATCCCCATTCTCATTTGATTTTTTCATTATTTATTTTTTTATCCAATAGTGAACTTGGGCTTGTATTGAATTCTAGGACGATTATGCTGTTTGATGTACAGTGGCAATTTTATGCTATTATACTTTTCATTTGATGTGCAGTAAGGACTTTCTAAATAAAACTAAAGCAACTAAACTTCCTAAAGAAAACGGACAATTGTGACGAGATTCTGATAAAACTGGTTCAGTTATTTTTTCTATAAAGTGTGGGAAAAGTCAATTCAAAAATTAAAGCCTGACCCATCTATAGTTTCTTAGAATATCACAATGGCTTTCCATGGCATAAAATTACATACTCTCTGTAAGCAAAGGGTGACTGAGCAAAAATACATCTGTTGTCTTTAAAACAACTGGGATGTGAAGCAAGAACATTGTTAAAAGAAGTCAAAGGTGCTGGGACATTTTCTTGAAAACTGACCATGAAACAGGCTGTAGGTATGGCAAACTTGTGTGGAAAAGATGGTGGCTTTTAGAGTCTTTGCTCAGAATATGCCTGAAGTAAATACATTAAAGAAAAGACCATGGACCTATTCCTTAAACAGAACCTTTACCCCCACAGGGTCAGTGAGCAAAGGTAATTAATAAGGTTTTAGCAGTTCAAAAAATATACAATCCCTGCTCTAGCAAGCGAGAAGGTTTATGACTAATACAAAGGCAGTTCAAGCAAAAATATTATACAGAAGATCTATAAAAAGACCAAATAATAAGAAGAGAACAAACAGGAACATTTTCTAAAACACTGGCTGAAACGATTTCTGCAGCAGTGCTGTAGCACATATGTTAACTTTAAATGAGTCATTAACCTCTGGCTATATTTCTCCACCTTTTTTCCCTGCTCAGCTACAGGGTGGGGGATAATCTTTCACAATTAAAGAACACCATTAACACTAATATCTAAAGAACACAAAATAAGTAGGAACACCATTTAAGCAAAAAGCATCTAACACTATCAATACTTTAAACATACAAGGAGCAATCTCCCACCTAGTGAAATCAAGCACCACAAGGAAAATAAAAAAGGTACAAAACAACTGCAAAAACTGTTCCAGGAGGGAACTCTGGGGCTTTTCTTCTCTTCCTGTAGCCCTAGTTTGTAAACTCAATCTACAAAAACCACACAGAAACAATATTTTAGTTGCAGACAGAAGGTACAGGATAAAAAAGAGCTGCAGATATGTGAAATTGAAGCCTTCAGAAATATATGTACCAGAAACTTCCCTTTTTGTGAAACACAAAAAAAGAACCCGTGGTAACTCACTGACCACCATATCACCCATCATGTTTTTTTTTCAGAACTGAGATCAGCAATGTACTTCCGAAAATAATAATTTAAGCTACCTTAAGCTTCATTCAGATACCAGAGCATCTTCCTACTGCCATCAGTCCTCTAGATGACTGACTGTGTAATAACTGTAGTGCCATGGTGAAGCAGTAAAGCACCTTTCCAGAAGGACAAGGTAGCCTGGTTCCAGCTTTGCACAGGCACCCCAAGATGATTAAAATGATTTTGCTTCTGCCTTGCTCGCATGTTGTTTCTCAAGGCAAAAACCCTTAAAACTTTTCAGCTCGGTAATCTCAGCTCCACATCTTGGTACACCTCAGTTTGGATTAATCTCACAACATTTTGGACGTGTATAAGTACGGACAAGTGAGCTTGTTCTCTCAATGGAGAGGAATAAGCACTTTCAGGGCACAATTCATCATATCCCAAAATAGATATTTAAGACAAGTGTGACTCATCTGACCTATTTGCATTGACTAAAGGGAGTCTAGACAACTAGCTCAAATACAGATATCTACACTGGGGAGGGTGGCTAAATCTGGGGACACAAATCCTACCCATGGTGCTGTTGTTTCAAAACAGGACAGTCCGTGGCAAGGTGACACTGGGCTGCTCGGATGGAACGGCACAGCATGGGAGATCCCAGCTTCCCTTCTCATCTGAACATCAGCCAACAAACAGCAGTTACATGGAAAGCATACGGCCCCTGATGTTA